TAGTAAATTTAACTTAAATAAGGATAAATTTTGATATTTTTCTGATCACTTATTGTTGTTACGATTTTGTTTATATTAGTATTCTGTGTATTTATATCTTATTTCAGGCAGTTTATTTAAAATAACAAATCTAGAATTCTGTATAAACTGGTCCAATTACTCAGATATCTCATTTTTATACTTGTACATGTATATATATTTAATTCTTTATTTTATTTTATTTTGATCATCTGTGAAATTGAATTCCAGTAAATAAATAAATAAACAAACAAATAAATAAATGTACATTTACACGTACATGCAATGCTGTACGTATAAGTTTCTCTATGTGGTTTTAAACCATTGATTAAAAATTAATGATATATGTGTGTACTGTACATTACTTGCAAATAATTTTGGGGGCGTTTTATTTCTGATATTTAATTTTCAGACACTTTTGATCTTACTTCGGGCAAATTTCAAACAGAACTTTTGGACACTTCACTGAAACATGGCTAACATAAATTTACACCTATAAAACACATTTTATACTGAAACAACATCTGTGAAAATGATAGTTTTACTGCACCATCAAGGTTTTACAGATACACCGATGGGAAGAATATTTTGGACACTTAAAATTTTGGACACTTAAAAATTTTAGACGGTATTTTTATTTTTCGCACACTTGTTTGTTCAAAATTAAAATCAGCCAAAATTTTTTGCAAGTAATGTGGTTTAAAAGTTACTGTACATGCACATGTCACTCCACCTTCCTGGGGATACACGAACCTGCTATAACTGTGATGTATCAGATTGTGTTCATAATGATTCTGGCTGTTGTTTTTCTCTCACTTTTTTTTTCACTTCTTAAATATATCAATTGTATTAAGTGTTTATTTATATTTTTCACTGCAGTCAATTTTTCGTAAAAGGTGGAAAAAGTTGTTCTTGTCAGAAGGATCTGTAATGTTATTACAGGTAAAAGTCATACTGGAATAATGTTCTGAATTAATAATGTTCTGAATTTCATGTTTTCGGTTTTCTGTCAGAGAACATGTACAAAACACATAAATGTATTGAGGGCTGTTTCTTTTTTCATGTAAAATTGACATAAAAACAAATAATTTCTTGACTAAGTACCTCTGTCATTCATAGAAATGTAAAAAAGAATACAGTGCCATGGGAGTGATGCCAATTATTCTGTCACTGAGTGCTTTGCCTTACTAGCTGGTTCTCAAAATAGTTTGTTTTCTCGCGTAACATAGGTAAACATGTCAAGAGAATAAAGCTGCTGTCATAAAATACATGAAACAACAGTAACAACAAAATTGTTCCCTGCTATGTACATCTAGCAAGTTACCTGAATGTGAACAAAGTAAGCGGAAATGCTTACCTGGGTATTGTTTTTTTTTTCTTTCTACGCTTTCATGCTCTGGATAATCATTTTCTTGCGTACTTTGCAATGGAGCAAAGCAAAT